GCGTAACTTCAAACAATTCTGGTAAGGGTACCCTTCAGTAATGGAATACAATACCAAGAAAGGTTTCACTGTGTACATTACAGCCTAAGAAACACAGATGAAGGAACCATAAAGGACCTCCAAGAAGACGGGGTTACGAGCATAAAACGTACCTATTCAGAGTTATACCTAACGGTAAAGGGCGCTGTAGTGTAAAATACATTACGAAATGTATGTGAGCCTACTGCCCATACGTAAATCCGCAAATTTCCATTTTTCCATCTTATATCTCTGATGTAGGACTGGGGGTAATTCTCTATCCACAAGTAGCACACTTACGTATTACAGATCTAATCCGTGTTTTATATACAGAACAACTGTAATTTTTTCTCGCATTATACACTGAGGTGATAAAAATGATGGGATGGCAATATGCAAATATACAGATGACGGTAGTATCACGTTAAAATGGTATAAAAGGGCAATGCATCAGCAAAGCTTCAATTTGTATTTAAGTGATTCATGTGAAAAGGTTTCTGAAAGGGTTATGGCCGCACGACTGGGATTATGAGACGTTGCATGTGGAATGGTAGTTGGAGTTCGAGCATGATACATTTCATTTCGTAAATCATTAGAGAATTCAATATTTTGTTATCCACGGTGTCAAGAGTGTTGCAATAATATCTAATTTGAGGCATAACCTTTCATCACGGACAACGCAGTGGACGACAGACTTCACTTAATGACTGACACCAGCGGCGTTTGCGTAGAGTTTTCAGTGCTAACAGACAAGCAAAACTGCGACGAATAACCAAAAACGCAGTTCGGGACGTACGACGAATGTATCTGTTAGAACAGTGTGGCGAAATTTGGCTTTAATAAGCTATGGAGGCAGAAGACCCACTCGAGTGCCTTTTGCTTACGACACGGCATCGCCTCTCCTGGGCACGTGATCGTATCGATTGGCTCCTGAACAAGTGAAGAACCATGGCTTAGATGAGACAATATCTTTGTTGGTATGAGCTGATTGTAGGGTTTGAGTGGAGCAAACCCCAGGAAGCCATGGACCCAAGATGTCAACAAAGCACTGTGCAAACTGGCGGTGCCTCCATAATGGAGTGGCCTATTTTTACACTGAACGGATTGGGTCCTCTGGTCCAACTGAACTAATCATTGGCTGTAAATTGTTATGTTCGGCTATTTGGAGACAATTCTCAGCCTTTTATGGACTTCATGTCCCAAATTTCGTTGGAATTTTTGTGGATTACAATGTGTCATGGTTTCGGGCCACAATGGTTCGCGATTCCTTTGGAGAACATTCTGAACAATTCGAGCAAATGATCTGTCCATCTAGATTGCCCAACATTAAACTCATCAGATATTAATGAGACATAATGGAGAGATCAGTTCATGCTCGAAATCCTATTCTGTCAATACTTTCATAGTTGTGGGCGGCTATAGAGACAGCATTGCTCAATATTTCTGCAGGGGATTTCCAACGACTTGAGTCCATGCCATATTGAGTTGCTGCACTTCGTCAGAAAAAGGAGGTCCGACATGATATTAATAGGTATCCGCAGACGTTCGTAACCTCAGTGTTTGTAGAGAGGATTGTTCGTATACATTTAATTATAAACTACACGACTGCATTTCATCAAATGTTCTTATTATGAGCAAAACGTACGTCAAATCTGTGCAAAGTTTATTCGTATAGAAAGCGTTAAGCAGACGCGTACAATTAGTTTATGTCGGTTTATATAGGTTTATATAGCCTGAAATTGTTCACTACGCAGAAGGGCTTTCGCCCTTTGGGCAGTATGTGTTAAAGACCAATCAGATTTTAGGAAAGGAACATTGTGCACAGACAATATATTGACATACTAAAATATATCATTTAAAAAGGTAGAGAATACAAAAGGAGCTTCGTGATTATCAGAGGCAAATCTTTAATGCAAGAATAAATTTAGAAATAAGACAAAGCTTCATTATATCGACTATTTTATTATATTATATCTCGACGAAATTGTTCGACTGTGGAAACAAATCTGAGGAGTGGAAACAGTAATCGTAATCCACATCCAACGAAATTGTAGCAATTAAGACTCTATGGTCAAATGTTCTATGAAATTTTGGTTTTAAAATTTAGTGTTCTTCCAGGACTGCTCTTTAAAAAGTGTTTGTGTCATTCTTTATTCTACCTATCATGAAATTACAACATCAGCAGGGAAATTTAAAAACGTGATGTTCCAACGTGATGACAATAATGTAAAATCAGAATTTTACATTATTGTACAAGGTATAAGAACATACAAACCGGCTCCAAGACTATCAATCTGCTGCCCCGTGTATTTTTACACTAGAGACGATTAGTGTGATTCATTGCTTATCGTCATGATAATTAGCAAACCTCGTAACTCTGTTTTCCCTCCTCGATTTTCTGTTTACTTTATGATAAAATATAGTTATGAAAGAATAATAATAAATAAAAGTAACTAACAAATCTATCATATTAAATAAGTGAGTTCCTCAGTATTTATAAGTTCATCAAAAAGGAAATAATAATTCTGCTTTCCCGCTATGTTTATTCTTTTCATAGCGAAATGTCCAATCTGGAGTTACAAGGTATACTATTATGTCATTATTCAAATTCAATACATTTAAAAAAACATTTAATGATTTTTATTAAAGAAGTATTATCAAAAAACTGACAGATATTTTAATGCTGACATTCTAAATCCATTCTACAGATATTTACTTGAACTCTTTTAATCTCTCCATGCTCCAAAGCAAGAAGTAAACAAACAATAAAATTCGAAAGTAAAGAAAATGGCTTAATGTGGCCTTTCCCGTAGCTGGTACTCCTACTGTAGGCACTGGGAAACTTTCACGACGCTGCATTTTTAAAGGGTCTAATATATGGCAATGCCACGAGATTTTTACAAAATAACATGTAATGTGGCGTTATTTGAACTTGCAAGGAAAGTGAAGAATTGAATCTGTCAATTTCTAAACATGAATAAGTGAAATCTTTTGCGAGACAGTGGCCTATAATTTGCAAAATGGTAAAATAAGAAAATAGTATACAGCATTTTACATCCTATGACATTGTGAGCTATTAAAAATCTTTTTTTAATTTGTTGTGTCTTCGTAACGTGTCTCTCTCAGCTCTTCGTGGGCATTGTTCGGTATTTTTAAATTGTTTCTCCTAAGCAATGGACATCTCATCATCTTATATCCACGTTCTCAGCGATTAAATTGATGACTATCGAAACAAATACTACGTACGAAGAATACACGTAAGAAGAGTGGGCGACAGTACAATGCAAAAAGTGTAATATACTTTTAGACTTTGCTGGAAAAGAAAGTCTGGGCTTCCAGACAAAAAGTGACATCAACAATAGGAACCGCAACAGGCCTTAAGCGTATTGAAGAAGAAGAATAAGAAGAAAAAGAAGAAGAAGAAGAAGAAGAAGAAGAAGAAGAAGAAGAAGAAATTCTAGAGGCGAAAAGAAAGTGAAGTAAGGAGTAAAATGTATGTGTGTTTCATGGACATCCAATCAAACCTCACGAGAGGCACAAAGAGGCGTAAATATATATATCCGAACCGCTAGTGGCATTAAGAAAATGTGTCTAATTTTAGGTTTCTGTATTTGCTGGGAGGGTTTTAAGTACATCAATGCATTGTGTACAGCAGAAAGGAACCTTGGACCCTCGTAGTATAGATCTTCACCTTCATATGAAAAAATACACCGTAAAGAGAATTTTTTACACGGATATTATACGGTTTTTTGTTTCTCCTGTAAAAATAGGAAACTCGGAATAGTTGCCTTTCGGCAGCTACCGATTCATTCAGCAAGTACATAACGCCATAGTGCTGCCATTATCGTGTTTCGTGTGAGTGAATCCCCGAGATGCACGCTCGCGCCCCGCCGCGCAGTGGCGCAGGTCAATCAAGGAACCATCTCGGGGGCGACACAGGCAGAGGCTAAGCGTATTACGCACCGCCCCTTTCCACGCACTAATTATGCGCATAGTGAAGGGAAGCGGGGTGGGCGGTGAGTGTCTCTCGCGGATGTGTGCTACTCCCTTACGTCCCTCCTCCCTCCCCCCTCCTCCCTCTACCCCATCCCCGCGTTCTCTTGCGTCCCCCCCTCTCCCGCCACGTGACGTATAGCGGGAGTGCTCCATATGCCCCGCGGTAATGCCGGGGTTTCAGTGGGCGTCCATCTCGACTAACGACGCTATGAAGGAATGCTTTCACGAAAATGAATGTGTACTCGTTTGTTTCTCGATGATTTATCACAGCAAGCAATGTCCAGATTTTCGAAAAATATATACTCGTGTTGACATATGTTATCTGAAAATTCGTTAAGATTGCGCTTTAGATGAATCGATAAATGATTGAAAATGTGTTTTACTATAGAGGCACACCTGTTCACTACAGATTATCTCTACACGGACGTTATCTTGATGATTACTCTTGCTCTGCGTATGTACAAATAGGTCATTGGTGTATGTGTATTTCACACTATAGAATTCTCACGAATCAAATCGTTAGGATCGTAGTATATGTAACATATGTAACAATTGATGAAAATGATTCAACCTTATCCTTAAAACGATACAAAAAAAACCATCACACATTAACATAAACAAACAATGTGGAAGAGTCATAATAAAGTAGGGGTGTTAACACACAAAATTCCGCGTAAAGTACTCAAATTTTCGAAAAACTGTATACAACCTTATTTCAACATCTGTCTGTGAGGAACAGATTCCATTAAGGGAAAATAATCGCTATCTTTAATATTTTTCTTGCTCCATTCTCTTAAACGACGTTCGCATTATTCAACAACAAAATTTAATCAAAAGCGATAGAGCCATTTTTTGAAAATTTAACTGTCCCAATCGATATTCCGTTATATTTATACATGAACCAACCAGTATTTGATCAAAAATAGTAAAGAAAAAATTGGAGCCATTAAAAGCAAAATTTTGAAAAGTTCTAATGGAAGTTGCAACTAAAAATCACAACGCATCAAATTCTACGACAAAAGTATTATGATTATTTAAATATTTAATTTTTTAAGATTTAAGAGATGTCTTTTAATGTCTTTCGGTTTGTTTCTTGTTGAGGATTTTTCAATAGATGGCTGAACTATTAATAGAATACAGGATACAGTATTATAAAATAGCGTAATCATTAAAAATAAAGTATGTCTGTGGTAATTCCAATGTCCATCATAAATAAAATATTTTAGAAGCACCAAAGTTTCTAATTCCAAAATAGTATATTTATACTAGAAATAAAAGTAAGATATAGAATAAATAAGTAAATAGTTTTGATATTACCTGTTTCATTTCCTCATAAGTGTTAAATAACACATTGGGTTCATGTCTCAATTTCCAGAAGTCAAGGATATGACCCCAAAACGGAGAATACACCACTGTAAAAAGAAATTACATTAATTTTAATCTCAACGTATCTTTAAAAAAAGAAGCTATACCATTTGTTCCAACACTACCCTACCAATACGTTTGTTTATAAATGTATATTAACTTATTTTTTTACAATTATAAATATCGAAAATGCAAATCAATAAATTTGCGGAATTCAACACCGTACATTTTGCTGAGTATCCTAATGAGATACAGAATTATGCAAGATCAGGAAAACTCTCATTTCCAATAACGGAGAGAAAAATCAGAAATTTCTAAGAACTTCTGGCAAAAGGACTTCGTGCAGAGACACTTTCTTTCTGCTCGATCATGTATAATGCTAACTACAATTGTGAGAGAACTCTTATCATCAGCAATCCAGAACTAAAACGAGGGAGTGACATAAAATGAAGCGAAATGAAGGAGAAAGAGGGGGTATGAGAGGAACTGGCGAATGGATTGATGTTTCCGGGCACGGCAACTGCTACGGTCATTTGTTCGATTGGCGTATGCCTTTTATCCCCCACTGGATGAGAGATTGAGCCCCGACCTTTATGTCGAGTTTCGGTGGGTTTTCTCCTCCACGAATCCCCCTCTCTCCAGCGGAGCACCGCCTCAGTAGAATCATGCCATGTATTCCCGACTTATCTCCCGTCATGTACAGTAGTATTATGCATGTAAATGTGTGTGTGTGTATGTGTGTGTGTGAAAGGAGGGAGGATAGAACAAGGAAGAGGAACGAAAGATAGCGCAATACCTAACGAGTTTCTGTGAATACTGCTCCGGCATTTGAATGGTATTGTTCCGTGATACCAGGGAAAAACTACCAATCAAAGCAGACGGTACCAAGAATTTTCCTCCAGACAGTGTCTGAATGCGACTTACCTATGTATCTAGTTTTGAAAAGAAGCCCATGCAATCAAGAATTTTATCTACCTGGCGGTCTGGGAGACAACGCTTTCTTGAAACAAATGCCAACTTTTTGGCTGCCATGCCGCGACCTTCCTCAGGGCAAAGAAACTTATCTCGAGGCAAAGGTTGCAGCATGCCAGCAGAAACTTGGCATCTGTGCCTAGGACGCGGCATCTCGACAGAAAAATTGATACTGGCACCGGCCAAGGAAACCTACGCTTTCACAGGAGCGAAATATTATATGGGGATATGGGGAGGGATGAGACAAAATTAGTAATAAGAGAGAGTATGAAAAGCGATGAAAAGGGATGGAAAGAAAGACAAAATTTGAGAGAAAGAGAAGGAAGGAGACACGGGGAGAACAAGTAGGAATTATGGAGAGAGGTGGAATAAGGAGAAAGGTGGAATAAGGAGAGGGTGAGAGAAAGGAGGAGATAAAATGCCAAGGAATGAGAAACAATTCGGTAAATCAGATAAAATGAGAAGGGATGATACAAAATGGGAATGAGACGACGAACGAGAGAGAGCGACGTCGAACGCAAGGGAGCGCCGAAGAAGGAGGGGGAGCGCCGAAGAAGAAGGAGAGGGAGCGACGAAGAAGAAGGAGAGGGAGCGACGAAGAAGAAGGAGAGGGAGCGACGAAGAAGAAGGAGAGGGAGCGAAGAAGAAGGAGAGGGTGCGACGAAGAAGGAGAGGGAGCGAAGAAGAAGGAGAGGGAGCGAAGAAGAAGGAGAGGGAGCGAAGAAGAAGGAGAGGGAGCGACGAAGAAGGAGCGAAGAAGAAGAAGAAGGAGAGGGTGCGACGAAGAAGAAGGAGAGACAGAATGTAGACGAGAAATGCGAGGGGAGCAGGTGGAGCGATGGGCATTGAGACGGCACGAGGAATAAGGAGAGAGAGGGGGGCGTGGGAGGGAGCGAGGAGGAATTAGCCTCTGGCGCAGGCCGAGGGTGAGTGGCGCGACGCTAAGCGTTCCGCTCGGCCGGCCTTCGTTCTGCCGGCGCGCCATCAAAGCGGATTCCGACGGGCGGGCCGCAGGCGGCACGGGGACGGCGGCAGCGCCGGCGTGGGCGTGAACGCGGCCGTAGGCGCGGGCGCGGGCCTGAGTGAAGGCGAGGGAGTCGTGGCCTTCTACACTGGAGGAGGACAGCGTCTGTGTCCTGAATTGCTACGTGGGCTGTGAGCGTCACGCTGCCTCCGATACGCCACGTGCGTGGAGGCTGCCAGAGCATCTTAGGCACGTGAAAGACATCCAGGAGGCGGTGACGAGACGATCGGGGAGCAAACGACTCGCAGAAAGGGGAAGTGAATGTCAAGCGACATTGTCTGTAAGTTGACCCGTAATAAAAAAATGACTTTATTTTAAGTGTATTTGGCACTAAGAGCGGAAAGACGTGTAGCGAAGGGTTTATTATTTCTTTACGTATTTTTTCATTTATTTTATTTCTACTTTTCTGTATATCCATCTGTAAAAAACCCTAATTACGTATTTTTGGCTTTCGTTTGATTTATACCTAGCATAAATCACACCTCGCTTGGAATGTAGTGACCGGTGCGAGAAAATTTTAGAGTAGCTCTTAATTTACACTTAAATCAGAAAATATTTTGCGAAAGGGTGTTTGTAATTGACGTAGCGGATATACTTCTTTATTATGGTTCGGGATATGGGATATTTGGGAACCTAGAAATTTGATAGTTGTGTTATATGAGTTATATTTCCGAATATAAATTGCATTGTAAATGTTCTATGTAGCGAGAGGAATTGAATTTTCAGATATTTATGTAACTATTGACTTTATTTAGACCATGGGGCGTTTGTTAGTGTTATTATGTACTGGTTTTCTATTATTTACAGTTTATTGAGGCTGGTTGTGGCTGCGCTGGTCCATATAGGACATGCGTAGACGAGGAATGGTTTGAGGAGGTTTTAGTAATTAATATTTGTGTATTTAGATGTACTTTTAGTTGTGTCCCTTGATCAGTGGTTTTAATTGCTGCATTTCCTTTTACCTTATATTTTTGGTGCCCATTAGTTGCTTCTTGTTAAGTTTAATGTCCATAATTTGTTTTACATATTTGATTGAATTGTTATTGGTGACGTATTATTGGTTCATTATTTATGCTTAAAGGTGTAGGTGGAGTAGGAGGTCTCCAGGTGAAATGCAGTTTGGTGAAATTTTAGTATAATTTTTACTTGGTTTGTCGAGATATCTATTTGGTTTAGCAATAGTTGCATTTTTATTTTGCTGGCTGGAGTGAGGAGTCGGACATGAATAAAGCTGTTCCAATTTTTGGAATTTGTTTTGTTATTGGGGCTAACTTCTGGGATTGTACTCACTTTGAGTGCGTTAAATCATCTACACAGTACCGGATTAATTGACTACAAAACAAGCTAAAGTTAGAAAAGAAATTCGTATAGATAAAAAATTTAATATAAACTGTGCAAAGAATTACTAGTTTTTGCGATACCAATAAAATTATTGTATTACTGTCTACGGCCTATAACTATTGCACATGTACTGAGAGGTGACTAATGGACCTGCCATATTTGAACATGCAACGCAATATATTGCCAATAATATATTTTATCAACAGTAAGACAATTGCCAACCGTTGCGGGCTTAGTCATCTGTTTTTGTAGATGGGCGTGTGCCACGAGAGGTGTGTCTGATGTGAGACGTGGTGTGTTTAACGAGGAACGTGACAAATGAGTCAGGACGGAGTGCGTTCTGGTAAATGGGAGCAGGGGCGAACAGAAAGGATGGGTCAGGGGTGACTGGGATCCGAAAAGGGACGGGCAGAGTCAGGAAACTGCGAGTTCATTGGTAGGGCATGGGAAACAATGCTCCAAGGGTCTCTCGTGTGGTGGCGCGGGGGAATTGGCCAGGTCGAGTGCAAGCAACGGTCCAAGCGGGAAACGGAGGCTGGAAGGCCGGAAGCGCTGTTTGGCCGTTGTCGGGGGTGAACGCTGCTCTATGAGCGTTTGTGACGACTGCTGGTCGTTTGCGAACTGCTTAAGCGCCTTTGAACGCCCGAGAGCGTTTGCGAAAGGCCGCTTGGGAGTGGCGATGTGGGAGGCGATGTGAGATGGAGTCTGGGTGTTACAGCATTACAGATTGAATCTTCGTGTCCGCGGGTGTGTTGGAAGCGGATGAACCTAATATGAATTTGTATTTGAATTTAGCCATTATATGTCTCGTGAAAGGCGTCTTTCAACCCAATCACAATTGTCCGTCACCCAACTAGGAAACCGCGATGTCTCCAATTCGCTTAACCTTCGTGACGTCACGTAGTTAAAAAATTCGGCTAGCGACGCTGGTTTTGTGGACATGACCTTTCAGTAGAATAAACCTAGCAATCGCCTGTTTGGCCGACCACGAAAAACCCCGGTCAGGATGGCTGGCACGGGAATTGAACCTGGACCTCCCGAATGCGAATGCGAAGTCAGCGCCCTAGGCCTTGAGCCACTTCCCTCGGTCTATTCTGAATACAGTATAATAAAAGAGTACATAATTGCTTGGGCTGTGTATTTTTCTAAATAATTGATGTGTCTGGTTTAAAACACATGGAAGTTAGTGAATTGCGAGTTAAGTACTCAGGTGCTTACAGAAATGTCTGCAAGATTCTTCAGGGACGCCAAGTTCTGAAAGTTTAGTGAATCCTTGGGATGTACTGTTAGTCTTAGGAAAAGTACCTAAGCGTTGATGCTACACAATACCCATTACAATACCCAATTGACACGATTGAAATAAACTTTAAAAAGATTTTAAAACGAAGATGGAAGTAGTAGTAGTAGTAGTTTATTGGGCATGATGTATGTTTAAACATAATTTCAACACCACTTCTCTTTTGAATTTTCTACTTCATCTTTCTTAACTGGTTATCCCTTTTTACAATATCTCTTATCTGCTATACCGTCCTTACAATTTCTATTTTTTTTAGATATTGATGCTTTCTAAATTCATATTTTTTGTGTTTTTTACATACGTATTTTGGCACTTTACTTCATCTTTTCCTAAATTTCTCGTTTGATTTCTTCTTTCTCTTCCCCCAATTTGAAAGCCTACATTTATTCTTCCTTTAATTCTCTTGCACTCAA